CTGTCTTCCTCAACATGCGTAAAAGGAACGACTCAACACGGATCTCTCTGGCCGATGATCTAAGATCCGAGCTTTGATTCTGTTAATTTTCCGTGCTTGGTATCAAGAAACGAATCAGGTCTACAAGAGCCTTAATCTTTGCGTAATTCATCTAAGGTAGCTTCGACTTCCACCTGTTGTCTCTAGGATATCTTTGGATTAACACTTATCTGCAAGAGGGTAAGGTGATATTTATAAAGTTATGCCCATACTTTATAATACATGCATACGTGAATAAATAATTGAGTACCCTTAACATACTATCCTGCGTGCATGTTGAATAATATATTCTTGAAAATATGCACATTCATGCATGCATGCTGAATAATATATTCTTGAAAATATGCACATTCATGCATGCATGTTGAATAATATATTCTTGAAAATATGCACATGCTTGCATGAGATGGGTCAGATAAGCACTTAGCTAAATTTATAGCTTCATTAGCAGCTTGTTGTATTAAATCTTTCTGGGTGGCAGCACATACATGCAGGTGTACATTTAATATAAACACACACACATCTATGAAGTATGCTATCTTTAGCAAATATATATGTGTTGAAGTGCTAACCACTATATCATATTAAATGCTGCTAATGGTTGGTTTAATGTTTTGTCTGAGCGAACCGACGCAAGAAACAGGCAGGCACCATCATGCATGACACAACTCTAAGCTATGACAAACCCAGCTCCTCGCTATTTAGGCCTCTGATCAACTTTAATTTGTTGACATGAGTGGCTTCGACTCAGTTACTATTTGATCTCAATCAAGCTATATGCCTAAAATTTGGCTGGGGACATCCTCATAAGTCGAAATAAATCGGTCCAAGACAGAGGAAAATATATTGTCGCGGGACTTCGGACAACCTCAATCCTCTCTTTCATTATTGTTCTCATAAGACGGAAGTAAATCTTGATACTTCAAGGCTCTATCCTTACATTGGTAATATCATTAAAGGCTCTCTGCATCTTGAAGCCCTTTGTCGTCACATTGGGGTTATTAAAAATACCCTCGACATCTCGAGGTCTTATCTTTATATCGAGGATATTATTAAATCCTCTCGATATCTTAAAGCTCTTAGTCCTTATATTGGAAGTGTTATTGAGCAAATTCTCTAACTCTCGGGGCCATCTCCCTTGCAATAAAAGTGTAGAAGACCCATGCGAATTGAGCGATGTGCATTATCGGTGATTAATCGAAGTGTTGCCCTCACCTTGGGAAAGCGCCTAAGGGCCCTTGTATACCAACAAAAGACGAGAGAAAATACCCATAGGGTATGCTTCTACTTACGGCCTGCATCTCGGCAGCTGTCTTAGACTGGTCATACCGACTAGACTTGGTAATGCCCCAACCCCTGGGTAACAAGTGCAAGTCACTAGACCTCGCGCCATCGGCTACGGTAAGGGTGGTAGTAGCAACCTCACCGGACTGTCGCATGGGAGACACAAATCCAAGCTGATCTGGGGCCAACGGAGGATCACCGGCTCGCCTGTAAACCTTCACCGTGTTGTTTCCAATGCCCTTGACCCTATAATGGGCAGACGTCTCGACTAACTATCCTGAACTCGATGCACTCAACTCCTTGCCCTTTCCACTTGCCTTGCGAACTTCAATGAGTTTTCCTGTCACCTTCTTACCCATCGATACACCTCCTCCCGAAGTGACATTCCCGCTCTTCTTCCTCAAAGGTTTTTTATTCTGTGGGGGGGCAGGGAATAAAGTCATCAGCTGCACCTACAACAAAATAAAAAGAAATTTAGACACGACAGAACAAGAAAAATGAGAACTTACAGGAACCCATGTGATCGGTGTCTCAATGAAGGTCTTCGGAACATGCCAATAGCTAGCCTTTTTATAATTCTTTTTTGTAAGTATTTTCCTATGACTCCGCGGGGTACCCACGCGCCACAACCTCACATCCGAAGTACCCCACTTGACATCGACACCTTTATACATCGTGCGTATTAAGACCTCGATGGCGAGGGCAACTGCAAGGCGAAGTGTATTGGGGCACCCTCTCCTGAATGTTGTGGTGAACTCCACTCTATAGGAACTAGATACTCAATGAAAGGCAACCCCTCTATTGGACGTATGAAAAGGTAAATATTCTTTTCACCCTTCATTTCTACCCCCTCGATGTCAAAAAGATAACCACATGCCCTAGGCACGACCGTAATGATATAAGGTCCGACTCGCATAGTCTGATAGAAGAATCTAAGTATGTCGAGGTTAAAGGCTAGCCCTAACATATAACACCGAATGTACAAGCAAAAAATATGGCTAAGTGCATAGGAGGTGACTTGGGTAAGACACATGTTATAGTGGGCAAAAATCTTTGCTACCGGCTCAAGTATCGGGAACTTAAGGCCAGCTCGACTCTGAGAAAAAAAAAAGGAATATAACCGGGGGCATGGGGCGGTCGATATGACTCGGTAGAAGGTGACGGTACCCTAAGACCTAAGTTAGGCATGATGTTCGAAGCCAAAGTAGCTTCTCCAAAGTGACACTCAAGCAACCAATTAGGTGAGTGTTTAGGAATAGAAGGGGTCAAGGTCGACCTTGCACAAACACAAGTACCTGAAACCGATAGCGGGCGAGCTGAGGCGACCATGCCTCCCTCCGGCAAGTTGACCGCAATAAGCTCGTCATCCCCATTTATCGACCTCGACCTCGATCTTGAGCGGTCACCGTCAGCTAGAACACGACCGCAATCCATCGACCCCGGGCGCTCCCCACCAGGTGCCATCAACCTCGGGCACCCACCACCGGCGTCCCTCAACTTCACATGATCGTCATCGGGCACTGTCGACCTCCGACGTTCCTTGTCGACTTGACTACCACCCCCACCTGTCGACCTCGGGCGCTCCTTGTCGGCTCGGCTGCCAACACCGCCTGTTGACCTCGAACGGTCACCGTCGGTTCATCCGCCTCCCCCATTAGCTTGTCCGTCGGCACACCTCGACCTCGACCATTCGCCGTCAACATGGCTGACATCACCAACGCCTATCGATGTCAGACGCTCTTTTTTGGCTCTCGTCGACATCAGATTCCTATCGACATCGGATTTCCGTCGTCCACATGACCGCGCTCGCCCTTGCCCTCGCAACGACGGGTAACCTTTATCGACCTCGACCTCGCTGGACAATCTCGATCGACCTCGCTTTCACACTGACTATGTTTCTTTCCTTGAAGTTGCTCCCCCCAATTTAGAAGCTCATCCATAGATGGTACAACCTCTTCATTTATGTCAAGAATGAGGTCATGGAAAGAAGATTTGGATTTGGAGGTCATTCATCACAAACTATTGATTTGCAGTATGAAGAGCAAAATAAATTGATTGTACAAATAAATTGAAAAGAAGAAGAAGAAGAAGAAGAAGAAGAAGAAAATGGAGGAAGGAGATGGGGTGAGAAGAAGGAAGAAGAAAGGGAGGGTTCAGCCCTCCCCACTTTTATTTAAAAAAAAAAGAAAAATTATGAAGGGACAATCCGACAAGGCTGTAAGGCCAAGAAGAGAGAAGAGGAAAATATTCCCTCTTTCCCTCTTTATAATAATAATAATAATAATAATAATAATAATAATAATAATAATAATAATAAGGAAAAAATCGAAAGGAGGAGGAAATGACAAGGTGGGAACGGTCA